TCGTGAGTTCAGAGTTTTTGAAATATGAATGGATAATCTGGGTGAAGATTGAAAGTGAGATCAAAATCTGGCTGCGGTCCAGATCTGATAGAGACCCAAATGTAAGCCTTTCCAGAATGATCACTGCAACAAGTAGGCGTAAAATTATAGGAAAGTTTAAAGTTCGCTTGAGATAGGCACTTATTCACTCTCAACTGAAACAGCCTAGATATTGTTTAAAAAGACCGAGTTTAAGAATGAAATAAGTTGTAGAGAACACCACTTTTGTGCATTTAGTTTATTTGGTTTACAGAATGATCTTACTTGGAAGTGAACTGAATGTAAATGAACTTATTGTCTAGACAGCGTAATGGTAAGACGTAGCATATCTGAAACATGTGATCTATTAATGCCATTCATTTCGAACAATCTGATACATAAGCTGTCTATTTAACAAGACAGATTGCATCTGCACAAATGATATAAAGGAAGATATAGCCAAACGGTTGATGATAACAGGAATACTGAATGAACACTCTTTTATCTCCAGGTGAAAAAGTAGTGCAGCACAGAGACCTATTTAGTTCTAAGTCTCTAATAAAAACGTCTACATCTCATTACCATTCGGTAGTGATTCACATAACTACCTTGTAGAAGGAAGCTTATACCAGAAATTTAAAAAAATGTCACACAACCAAGGTCATTGTTGTGGAGAAGACAAAGTTTATATTAAAACACCAGCGAGTGCATCTTTATATGCAGCTGACGTAAATAAGCGATATAGAATGCTTCAATATATAATAACAGTCAGTCTCTAATTATCAGCAAATACATATCACAAACTAATCATAGGGCTGACATTAAAGCAAGCCTTATGCATTGCATAAAAAAAGTGAAGGATAAGTGCGTAAATTTATCGAAGTCCCAGGCATTTATACACTTAAATCAATTTTATTTAATAAGAAGCCATTCATATTCATTTTTAACCTACGTTGGTAGTACTGATTTCAATTCTTTGAATGATTTCGGTGAGACTTGGACTTCACTTTTTGTCTAGTCCTTATTTTCCCTGCTATCCTTATATTTCTAATCGACTTAAATAATCCTTTTTGACTTTTCATACTAAGAATTTGTTAAGTTCATATTCAGTCAAGTTGTTCAAAATGTATGGCTCTTATACATCATATATTCCGTGGGACTAATTGGTTTGAATTTCGAAAAGCAGTCACTGTTGTTGACAATGGTCACATCCTTTGTAGCTTCAAAAGTGTTTCCAGATTTTTTGATGAGCCTATTCGCAAAGACATTGTCAGTGAAGATTTTTTCCAATAAAGTTAACTGATTATACAATTTCTTTTTGAAGAATAGTGTTTTTACTGTAAGGGGTATCAACCTGGCTAAACCATGTTGGTAATTAAAATAATACATAGTACAGATTGTTATGTCTTCAGCGATGAAGTTTCTATCATGTGGTTTTCTAATTCTAATACAGCTGTGACTGAGAAAATGATTAATACTGTATATAATTACGTCTTGCTTAGCGGATGTATCCAAGAATTATTCATACAATTACCCTTCCTAACTTATAATCAACAGAAGGGAAGACTGGTGCTCACTGCCGTTGTGATCTGCGATTTCAGTCATGCATATTTTTATCTAAATCATGTGGCCACAAAGTACCAAAGTGCATAGAATTGAAATAAGTGATTTCAGACATGGGAGAGGGAGTTCATCACAGTAATTGATATCTGTTAACCGGTAGTCATTTCAGTACCATAAGTCACATGGAAATCAGTGAGTAACGAATATGCAGTTCTCGAGATGAGCTCTACAGCGCTAATATCAAATTGATATGACCAATCATACTTTTCTAAGGTTTCTATTCTTCTTTCTTTGGTTTGCAAAACACAGGTACCCATTGTCACGCATACTTCTGCCGATAGTATCTCCATTCTTTCTTCTGATGGATAGATTAGGAGAATCTCAACTGGTTACTATATTCCTATTTCATTATGGTAGTAGATGGACTTGCTGGTTTAGTTTTGTAAAGGTACTTCTGGTTCAGTTGTCTAAGTTTCAAGTGTTTTTGACTATGCTGCTTAAGGCAGTGAACTCGATAAATCATCAAAATGATGACTACCAGCTGAGATTAGGACAGGTAGTACTGCCAGAAAGTGGTATTTAAAGCACAATTATGTCAACTTTCTACGAGATGCTTAGTGGAGCAGTGTAACTGATTATTTTGTAGTTAGATCCTATGGGAAACACGATTATTATTCACTGTGATTAATTCTCCATGACTGATTCCTGAATGCTATATCCTTAATGAAGAAATATTTAGTCGCAATAGGAAAATAGCTTATTTATTGTATAAGACATAATACAATTGACGTTTTATGTAGCATTAAAGACAGTTTGCACCAAATCTAATTCGTGTTACGGTATTCTGCGCAATAAAAAAAAGCAAGAAGGCGATTTAAGGTAAGCTGGATTGATTAACTAGAAGGCTTTGTGGTAATTTGTACATAACGTTTTTGACGGAATGGTTTAAACTCTACTTACCGACATTCAGTGCCTACTGATTGAGTGGGATTTGAGTAATCCGTAGAACGATATTGTTCAAATACTTAAGGTTAAGGTGACAGGGCTGCCCTACCACTACACCCATAGCTTACCTTCGAGGCTACCACAAAAACGTCATGGATAGCAAATTTAAAGAGCAGTGGCAAAATCGACCAGTCCTGCCTAGGTCACTAGTGGTGCAGGAGAATGGAGATACGTAGCTGTAAGCCTTCATTTTACCCGAGGTGTTGAAGTATAGGGCTTTTTGATCATCAATAAACTTCTTAGGGAAACCTGTCTTCAACAATCAATCCTAGAGTACAACTTTGTGCCAAGAATCGAACGAAGCCGTAATACATAGAAATACGATGATCATTTACGTGTGATGGTGTTCGAATATCTAACAATATGAGCATGGGTTCAGTGCATACATGACTTTAATGAATCCCAGTCCCTTCCTCGCAGTTAAATTTTAATGAGTTTCACAGAGTCTGCGGAATATGATAACATCCAATTCTTTAGGCACTAGCATTGACAGAGAGATACTTCATGGATCATCAAATAACTTTTTAAGGATGAGAATAGCAATGGCCTCATTTGAAAGCGATAAAACATTCTTTGTCTGCCATATCTTCCCAAATAAACAGTCAGTTCCCTGACTACTGTTCCATTTCTGTTGCTAAAAATAACCAGGAGTAAACTATCTGGGCCGGGTGCCTTATGATTCTTCAGAACCTGAACTTCCATAGTGACTTTTGCTTCATTAGATGGACCAGTATTAAGTAGTCATGGAAAATAAGACATTGTGGTCGGTGCTGCTGGAGCAGCAGACCAGCTAAAATGCTCTTCGAAGTGCCTCACCCAGTAATAAAAGTTTCTGATAAACGTACAATCTTCCTCACACACCACCTCACTGACATCACCCGTTTAACTGCCGATGGCTCAGATGAACTGCAGCAACTCTCGACTATTACCAGATGCAAGAGCTGCTTCCATCTCACTCACACATTTTGATTACCAGGCCTCGTGGTCCTTACGCAAACCCTGTTTGGTCTGTCACACAAGGGAATAACGCAAACCACTGTACTCTCTGCTTTAGAACGTTAGAAGGAGGTCGTAGAGAGTCTGTGTTTATCAACAAGATGTTTTTCAAGACCAAAAGTAACTTTACCAGCCGTTTTCTTTGTGTTCAGTAAGTATAAGGCTCATCTATACTTCCTAAAGTTTCCATAGATGGTTGTGAACCCAGTTTGCTTTAATAAAACATACTATATGGACAATGAATTTTGTGCGAAGCATTATTCAGTGAATAATGCCATTTCTTTGTGTATTTTATCAGACTGTTGTACACACATTAATGTAGTAAATACTTGACGCAGAGATTGTTGGTTAAAGTGTGGCATAACAAAATCTTATGAAGTTTTTCTCATCGCTGTGAACCTTAAACATGATGATCATCTATTGGAGTCCCTTCAGATACCTATTTAACATGGCAACGTATCATCAGAAAATTAAGACTGGTTTTATTCACCTAACATAATGACTAAATACGACAGTGGTGCATTCCATTTAGACTAACCACCGGAAATAAATTCACTGACACAATGAAAAGGCTTCATCCCATAAATATAAAAAAATATTTATACTGGATTTTATTCTCAAAAATAAAGGTTAACAAAAGAAATAGGTAAATATTGTAGACATTCAGTCTAAATTTCGCTTTACCTAAAACATATATGTAAAACTAAAACACAACCCAGTCACTTTATCATTTGCTCTCAGGGTAATAATGATATTATTAATAATAATCAATAAAAATCGATAAATAGTGAAAGACTGTTGGTGTATACAGATAAATAGTTTTCATTTCTTGCTTCTTATGCATATATATTTATATTAGTTGATTAGTTGAAGGAAAGATAATGGTAAACTAGGTCAATAACCAATAACTATAGTCAACTGAATCAATGTGCAGAATTTGCACGGATCACATGAGGTGGAGCTGTTGTACGATTCACATAAGGATGTCTAGATCTCAACCACATAAAGCTTTGTATAACTGCTTTAATATCATTACTAGCACATTTTTGTAAACGCCAAGGATTTTGAAATTCAAACAAGTGTAAGCATGTTAAAGGTTGTAATAATGAACCACACCATGAGAATGTATAATCAGCTCCGCTATAACTATCACGATTTAGATAAATTCCATTTGTAGACTGTTTAGTAGAACAATTTAAATTCATGATGTTTTCATTAGTATCTTGTAAAATATCTTCTACTGGCATAATATATAGTATAACAATTGGTATTTTATGAGCTATTTCACTAGGAAAACCTTTTAGTACAGTTTTCAGTTCTGTATATAAGTAAAATGCTTGTTCAGTAGTTTCTCTAGCATCCAGTGCATAAATTAATCCACAAACACCAAGAAGTAAGCGCTTCATTTCATCACTTACCATTAATCCATTCAGCAGAGAAGAATCATTTGATAAAGTATTAGTGTGATCTGAATGTGCAAAAAGACGGCTTGCATTAATTCTTTCTAGTTGACTATTGAATTTATGACTTAGATGTCCACTTAGAGAATAAAGATAATGTAAATCAAATATGAAATCATCTAGTTGATTTATTCCATATGCACAGCCTGTAGAGGTATACGACTGAACAGATTTTCTTGATTCATTTTTCATATGTACATAAATTTTACCTGGAGTATATAAAGAAGAATCTAATGCTGCTATTTGAGCTTGGTTGTGCAATCGAAGTGTTAGTCCAGCACCAAAACCCATTCTCCCTGGAATCATATTTAACGGTTCAAATGACTTTGTTTTAACATCGACCAGTTTACTGAATAGACAGCTTGTCGCTCTCTGATCAAAACCAGGTCCAAACACAGCAAATCGACAACGTTGGCGCACTGTATCATTTAGGCGTGAAGTATGATTAATAGACAGTCTGCGTCTAGTGCTATTCCACCAGTTCCAGAACAATTCACTGAAAGACAGCCGACTTGGTGTGTGATCTACAGAAGGTGTTGGCGAAGTACTAAGCTCGTTAAGCTTGGTAATTAAAAGTTGAATTTTAGATGCTTCTTTCTGGTCAATAAGTAAATGCTGAGGAACATAATTTTTCAGGAAATGATACACTTTGTACGGATGAACTGTTTGTAGTCGTTGTAGATCTGGAGCATGACTGGGTTTGGAGTCGCAAACAAGAGTAGACCATCGGGTTTTTAAGATTAGCACCAATTTCTTCTGCCATAAAAAGTTGTCCAGAGCTATTTGTCTCCAGCTAGTACACACGTGAATACAACTGATTAGATCTCCAGTATTGAGATAGTTGAAAACACGCAGCAGTATTTCAGGAGGTAAATTTCTGACTGTGGTATGGTTACTTAACGGATCTACCATTCCACGTAGAAATATTTGTCACCTTCCATGAAGTTGCTGTACTCTCTATGTAGGCATTTTAAATAGCCTAGAAATTCACAATCGCCCTAAGGCTCAAGATTTATCAATCATTATGGGTGAGGCCGATATGAATGACCTTATCACATAATTTAGCCAATAAGAAGTGACTTAAGAGTCAAATCACATAACAGGCCTTGCAAGGTCGAATAAACTTTGTTATGATTGGCCGAATGTAATCAATAAACTTATGGTACTTAGTCTTCGCTTCTAAAAATGAAACTTGATGACTAATTTTCTTACAGCTTATTGCAGTGTCATGACAGTGTGTTAACTTGTCGATCTGCCATTCCTATTGCAACTCTCTTTTTGCTAATCACCCACTTTCAGTGAAGTTGTTGCTGAAATACATTCATTGTGCAACTGGACTGAGGAGGCACTATAATGTAGTCATCTAAAAAGCTCGATATAATGAGCTTCACAGTCAAACTGTCATACTAATGGGTCATTCCAATTTTGCGGAAAAACTGTCTGATGTTTCTGAATCATAAACTTCCGAAGAAATTTAGAAAATGAATATGAATTATTTTCATCTCAGGAATTTATTCCATCATGTTGCAGAAACAACAAAGATTAGGACTGATGTCTTTCAGGAAAACACAAAATCTTGTCACAATACGGGAACCTTGCATGAAACACATTTCATGGAAATAATCTTTGCATTCTACATTCCAGATAAGTCGACCTTCAGTTCCGGTTGCTTAATCTTTTGTCTTCTGTTTTTCCTTACAACGTTTCTCCTTTTCTCCTTCAGAAATTCTACTGATTAGATGATAAATCTGCTTACTTTTCTAAGGGATATCATGCAAAACACTCATTAAATATTATGGTATATGTAACATATATCGCGGTGCAACTGTTATGTGGGTAAAGTTACCAGTCATAGCTGTTCCTTTGATCCGTGGTAACAAGATAAGAAGGTATGTAGATAGTGACTATTAAGATATATGTAATAGTAATAATATTGATAATAATGTTAGTATTCATCTCAGTTATGATAAGAATCATAAGTATGACATGGAAATACAGACATTCAGACAACCAATATGGGTCAAAACTTTGAAAATAATAAAAGGCTCATTTCCTTAATACTCAAAGTAAGAAGACAGTAATGATTAGGCTAGTATCAGAAATTTTTCATATGCGACTGACGTTAGACATAGTTGCTTTAAATATTTATGAAAGATCATCACTTGAGAAACGTACTGCAATACTGAGTTGGGAATATAGTTATCAGTTGGCATACTTGGGTTTCAAGATACTTCACATAAGCCAGCAAAGCTATTTCCCAGAAAGATTTAAGTGGTTTTTACAGTCAATTATTTTTCCTTGGTTTTACGAGCTCTGTATAGGTTTAAGCAAAGTGATAAATACTGGTGACTCAAGAGGTTTTAAATTGCGGGTTCAATACTCTGCATTGGTATTTCTTTACTCTTTTGTAGGACATGACAAGTTGCAATAAACTAAAAAGTATGATAAGCTTTTTAAACAGTGTTGACATATAAACATGCCTTTGCATGTAACCAAAGAACTAAGTGTCAGTTAAACACACTTCTTCTTACCATTTTATTAATCTGTAGCTCCCATAATTCTTTATCTGAAGACAGAATTCGATTTCATCAGTTGAGAGTCATTGTGCCTGTTTCTGACTGTAAGGGGAGTCCTGGGAATTGTTTTGCTAACAAATGTCTTCCAGTAGATCTCATATACCGGCATAAGGGCTTAATGAGGGTTGTCTTTTGAAGCATATAAGTCCATTAGTATTAGCCAGAGTTGTCCACTTTCTCTGTTCCTAGTTAACTATGTAATAGGTATGCTGATAAATATAATGAGATTGACGTACTCCCAGGTGGACATCTGGTTGATTTAGAGTACATACACGATGTAATTCTGTTTGGTTAAGATGCTGACAAAATGTACAGTGTTTTGAAAACATTAATCAAAAATGCGAGTATTTTTTTGACAAGCTTTTGATATTTGTCAAGTGGAAGATGAACAAGTCTTGACTGACTGAGAATTCAAAGATAGGGAGTGAAGTGGTCGAATGCTTTAACCTCTTTGATTACTTACGAAGTTATTCCAGCTTGAATAAGGTTGGTTGCTGACGAAATCCGATTTCGGATACAAAAAGCTAGCTTGGTATTTTGAGTAAACGTGCAACCTATGCTACCGGTGACACATCCAGTTCCTTATAAGAGGAACAGTCAGTTGCTCATAAGCGCACTACATTTTATGGTATCTCTATTTGAAATAGTTCATGAAAGTCGAATATATGAAGTTGGTAGCTTTTGTCCGTGACTGTCTTCGCAGCATTGCTGTCATGTTGTGAAGTCATCATATGACCAATGTTGGAGTTACGTGTAGAGTAACAAGAGTGAAAAGTGAATTAATTGATAAGTATGTGAACCGCCATTGACTTGGACATGTTCCACATGCCAAGTTGAAGCGATTTGGTTGGAAAAAAGGCTAAGGATAGTGAGACCAGTCCATGAAGATTTTAACCGTTGGTGTGATCTGTATTTAGTGATGTAGGCTTCCTGCATGGGGTCCTGGAGAGTATAGGAAAGAATGTTCGGAGAATCTTGGTGGCATAGCTGAAAATCAGTCGACAGTGACTCAGACGTATCTTTGAGATCGTCAAAAGATTGAACATTTATACTAATCTTTAATTTTTTAAATTCTCCTTCCTTCTATCATTTGGTTCTTTGGTTGTGGCTGTTTTGAGTGGGAAACTGAACTGATACAATTCTGTACCAGTATCTGTTTCGATTTGTCTGTATGTCTCTATGTATGCCTTATTCTTAGCATGTTTTAACTGTTATCTTCTATCTTCCGAATCAATATAGTTTTTTTTTCTGTTCATTTGTGCAATGAAATAAAAATCTAAATTCTCCTAAATCAGATTATAAATTCCCTAGGAATTATGCCTACTCTCCAAATTTGAGGTTTCTTAGGAGGGACTTTTAACATCAGTTTGAGTAGCATCTTCAGGGGATGTTTAGTGAGAAAAGCCCCTTCCACATATTATTAGTTTCTGTTATCAAGCGCGTTGAAAAATACACCTATGCCTCAAATCTATGTAATTAGGGTCGCCTGTGTAGTAAACAATCAGGATTTTTGGAGTATTTCTTTTGCTATATATCCAATTATTGTCTGACATTATAATATACATTTTTCAGTCAATTTTATTTTGTTATTTCCAGGATCTGCTGAAAGAACTATTGAACACTAGGTACATAAAACCTGTAGTCATGGCCTTAACTGAGTTATAGTGATGACGGAAAGAATCTGTTGTCCTTGGAAAACACTTGAATTCTATTAGATACGTGGTCATACCTATACAAGTAAGTTCTGAGTGTATAATCAGATTACAAACAAACAACTGTATGATAGTGACTTGTGACTATTCCTTAGTGATCGTCAAATTTTTCCTATTGACCTCCAGCTTTTATTTTACTCTTTTAAATGAAGAAAACTGTTCAGTGAAGTTGTAGGAGATGAAACAAGATGATCGGGAAAACCAAATATTTGAAGATGGACTTGGAGAAAGGCCTTTGCAGTCAACCATTTAAAGACAGTCTGCTATTGTATACCACTATAAAATTCCATATTTCACACCAAAACTTTCACCTTAACTAACAGTAATGATGAAACTAACTATTGAAGTATTTTCTCGTCATATAATAACAAGTTTCGTCTCTCAACCACACTATATCAAAGCCTAAATATAAACACTACACGCTTGCCATTATAACCATATTCCTAAAGGTCCTTTTGTTTCTTACTTACAACACAAACTCTTATTCAAATGGTGGATAGTGGCTAGCAGAGGATTTCAGGATGTGTGTTTCCTCCAATCTGGAACTTACCATCTGGATGCTTCCGCCTCCCAGTGGATGAAGTTTCCACCGGGACTCCAACTGGAAACCGATCGACCCAAACGCCAGGTCATAATCTACTAGACAACCAAGTCACGATTTTCACTTCTTGTGTGACGGGTATAATTTTAATGTTGTTGTATTATCTCAGGATAATATAAGCAACGACATTAAAGCTTATATTTGACCTATATCCATCTTATAACCGACTGATATCACCAGATACTGTAAATACTAAGTATTATGTACGTATGATTATTATCTTTGCTACAATGTAGAAAGGAATCTTTTTCTATACAACAAAACGGAAAGCATAATTTGGTTTCATTTTTGCCTTAGTTGAGAAGCAGTAGTAAGGTAATTGACACAACGTGTCGAACAGACAGATTCTAAGAAGATTGTAAAGTGTGATTATTTTAGTTACCAAGTATAATGGATTATCAAGGGTCTTTAATATCCCTTTGTTCAGGCTATTCCTAAAATCTCTGACTTTCTTCAAACAAATTTTCACTATGATATATTTCAATTGCATTACACATCTTTGATACAAGCTTAAACCGTCTAGGATATAGGTATGTCCGGCTGATGAATATTAAGTAGGAGGAAACATGAGTCATAGATTCCACGACTTATGTCAACTATTGTACTTGTTTGTCTGAATGACATCACTATTTCTTTTATAGATTTATTAATATTAGTTCTGGATTATCTTCAGCAGTCGGACCTCGTAGCTGAGTTGATAGAGCATAGATCCTAAAATCCTGTGGTAGCTGGTTTGAGTCCTGCCGCACTCTGGATTTTCATTTCACCTTCAGTCATCACCTAGTATCAATATCTTATTATCACTGATCAGGGTATGAACTGAATATATAGCTTCATTTTATTTGCATACGTGTTAAATATACAAATGATGAATGAAACATGACTTATTGACTGGCTTAATGACTAACCAAACTCATGTAATTAAATGGTCGAGTGATAACTACTCAAAAAAAAGTATACTGTCGAATACATACAGTTATTCTGATTTGGAAAGTTTACTTACATACAAGTAAGGTAACAGAAAATCTATACGATTATATGCTATTTTACTAACGAACACCAGTGAACTAAAGTTGCCTGAATGTTATCAACTGACTAATTAGTATAGCCCTATATTGGTTTAAT